AAAAACTCAGCCAGGTGGCGTCTGGTTTGGGAGTTCTCAGCTCGAAAAGTCGGCCCAAATGTGTAGACTCTAGAAAAAGCACTGCATGCAAACATGTGACATGAAAAAAATTTAAACCTACTTCATGACATAAGATAAATGAATCTTAGAAATTAGCAGATGATCATTTCAAGATTATTCTTTTGTTTTTTTTTACTATAGCTGATCTCACCCGGACATCACCTCCAAATGTAGCTGTCCCGACACAGTCAGGAAGGCCGGGAGAGAGAAAAAGTTCACGTCACCCACAAACTCTGGGCCTGAGGGCTGTGTGGAAAAAAACATTTTATTATCCAAACCTATGTTATTAATTCACTTTAGAGCTTAAGATAACCTAAAAAATGATTTATAGTATGTTTCTGTGTAATGCTCACTCACTTCAACTCTAAAAAGCTCCCCTGCTCCTTCACAGTCATTTGAAGTAATGATCGGTGTGTGAATCTGTACAAAGCCATTGTTCTGCGGAAAAATATGAAATAAATAAAACAAAACATTAGCATTTGCTCTTTACCGTGTTAAAATAAAACTCCTCTGAGTTTCCTACCTTGAAATATGAATGTATAGCTGTCGTGGCCTCACTTCGTACCCTCAGCAGAGAGCTGAAGGCATTTGTTCGACACCTCAAGTGAGGAAACTGGCGGATGTACTCAAGACTGTGTCTCTCTTTAATTTTAAAAGGAAAAGCCTAGAAGGGGAAAAAGAGAAGCAATATTAATTAGCGTTTTCTCTAACAGTAATATATGTTTTATAACACATTTATGATGAGTAGTGTGTTCCTACCACAGGATTACATTTTCCAACTACGTGAATCTGGTCTACTTCCAGTTCGACAGGCTGCTTCTGATGCGGGCTTTTCTTAAGAATACCTGAAACTTCAATGGCACTGCCAAATGTAAGCAACCTTAAATAAATAAAAAAAAGCTTAGTAGAAAAATAGGACAAATTGTTTTATGGGAATAAAATGGAACTACTTACGGATCATTCAGCTCTGCTCCAGCAACAACCTGCAGCGACTGCAAGGAGCTCCCATCATTTACATGGAGGAAAACATTCTTCTTCTGCAGTCTAACAGAGCGAACCCATCCCTGCAGCAAAAACGAAACAAAGAGCGTGGAGCTGCTGCTTCTGGAAATATAACAAAGTTGCCATAACCACACTGGTGGTAACAAAAGGTGGTGTTTTTCCACTTCTTAACTTTAAATAAAATTACATGAAAATATGAAAGAAAGAGCTAATACAAGAATAAACAATATATGGGGTCAATCATTCAGTCATAACTTAAAAGGGAAAAAGGAAGACGACTAAGACTTCAGCTTGGCAAATGCAAACAAATCAGAAATACAGAAATCTCTTTGTACAGATTTTAATTATTTTTATTTCTCGACAGTGAACAATTTAAAATTATTCAGAAAGCAGGTAAAAGAGCTGTTTCTCCATTTGCAGCAACAAGTGTGATATTTACTCATAAGACTATGATGCGTTCAAATGATTCATGTAAAATAGAATATCACATTTTACAGAAAAAATATGTCAATGTTTGGGGTGAGGGGGACACTAGCAGGGTATGTTTTGTGTGGGCAGTTGCACTTCTGTTACAAGAAAGAAAAGATACAAACAAGAGGTTGTTGGAAAAAAATTGAATTTATAAAGTTTTATCCTCAAATTAATTTACAACAAATTTAAACTTGAAGGGGATGTCAGCATGGCAGAAAGCACAGGTTTAGACATTAAGTGTAGATTTAAATGATAAACGTAATAGTTACCTGGATCTTAACATTTGCTCCCAGCCCAGTTCCAGAAAGTGCTTCAGATACTCTTAGTTTTACAGGAACATTGTTACAAAAATGCCGTAAACCGAACAAAATACCTCGATAAACTGATGAAACAGAGCGCGTCTTCTTAGCTACAGCCTGAAACATCGTGGCGAAAGCCACTTCTTCCGATAAAAATATAAAATAAATAAAATCTCTAACAGTTACGATAGCATGAATGCACTGAAAACGGCTTTTTTTTTTGTTTGTTTTAAAGATTTTGCTGTCAGTTGACTTTCATTTCTCACGTTGTTAACAGCCGAAAGCAACACTTCCTGTTACTGACTGACGTCATACGAACAATCCAGTCACGTGGGTCAAAATAAACCAATTACATTTTTCGCTTTGCCTCCAGTGCTGCTGGGACTTGTAGTTTTATTGGGAATTCTTGCATGGAGGTCTGACTGTATTTTTTTATTTATTTAATAAATAATGCTTCTTTATTATACAAAGTAATTGACAAAGAATATTTAAATTGACACAAGACGCAGGATAAAACTTGGCAAAAGGGCCTTCTCTTACTTCTCTCCTGTAACCTGGAATTTCTTGCAAAAAGATCTGAAGATGTCGACTTTGACCACTTTAAGGGATTTTAAACAAATGTTATGATCATTGCAAAAAAAACAATGCAGACAGGTTCCTGTTTTTAGTATTTTACATAGTTTTATAATGTGGCTTATTTTTGTTTCATTTTACATAATTTCTTTTATTTCAGGTCTCTCTTGTAAATGAGTCCCTGAGGCTGAATGGGATTAGCCTGTGTTTTCAACCTTTATTTAGACAGGTAAATCCCATTGAGCCTCTAGGACTCATTTACAAGAGACCTGATTTCAGCAAAGAATGATGACAACAATGGACAACAGCGACAACAATAGACAGTTATAAAAAGGCATACATATATTTTTTGTATAAATAAAGGTTGAATGAATGGGAAAAAAACCCTTTTCATTTTATATTTATTCATATTATCCTAACAGAGCACTTCACTCTCAGACTGCAGGTTTACTTGTAGTTCCTAGAGTTTCCAAAAGCAGAATGGGAGGCAGATCTTTCAGTTATCAGGCTCCTCTCTTGTGAAACCAACTTCCACATCATGTCTGTAAGGCTGACACATTGTCCAGTTTTAAGACTGGGCTCAAGTATTTCCTTTTGGATAAATCCTATAGTTATGATTGGCTTGAGTTTCCAGACCTATCCCTTAGTTATGCTGCTATAGTCAGAGTCAGAGTTTCTTTATTGTCGTTCGTGGAACGAGATTATGTACACAGGGTCCCAGTTACACCCAACAATAAAATGTAAAAGAAAAACAGTAATAAGATCTAAGATATGAACTAAGAAAAACATCAACTAAAAACAAGTTAAGCACTAATAGTATAAAAACAATACGCCGAACAGCAGCACAAACATGAGTCTGTGTGAGCAGATGAGCACGCATGAACACAGCAGCATGATATGATTCTTCACAGTGATTATTCTGGTTAGAGATTCATGAGTCTAACAGCTTCAGGGTAGAAGCTGTTCCTCAGTCTAGTGGTTCTACACTTAATGCTCCACAACCTTCTGCCTGAGGGGAGCGGGGCAAAAAGTGTGTGTGCTGGGTGAGTGGGGTCCTTCATGATGCAGGTGGCCCTCTTCCTGCATCTGGAGGTGTAGATGTCTGTGACGGTGGAGAGGCTGACAACTTTACTAATTGGCATTTATAATGTATGTGAATGTTTTTTGTTCCATGCCCTGAGATAACTTCTTTTGTGACTTGGCGCTATATAAATGAATTGAATTGAATTAATAACAACACAGCAAGAGTATTAACTTATATAAAAAAAGAAAATATTAACTTTGGTGCTTATCACACTACAATGGCTCATTGTGTTGCTTCCAATAGAATTAAAAGTGTGTTCTTATTAAATGTAAAAATAGTTTTGAAGCTTTATTTAAGCTGATTTGTACAATAAGTGTCATTCATTTTATAGCTTATGTTTGGCTTTTATTGCCTGCGAAAAGATTGTTTATGGCTACAATTAAATTTTTTTATTTAAAAAAAAAAAAAATCCTGTGCATGAAATAAAAGTTTCAAACTCTGGTATTTAAACTGGTATAAAGTACCTCCCTGTCACTAGCAGCAGCATAAGGTCAAATTTATGCCAAGGAAT